GTTAAGGTATTTTACTGAAAAATATAGTTCCCTAGAATAAAACAAAGCTCTTCTGGGATATAAACAATAAGAAAGATGTGTAGTGTGTCAAATGGATACATTCCATATATTTGAAGAAAGAAGATCCATGGCAATATCAAGCAAAGCAAGACAAGTGTTGGTATTGGAGAAAGATCTCTAGTGTGCGAGATAATATGCAGTCTAAGGGAATCACCAACTTCATGATGCCTATAGAAATCTATAACAAGCTTATCGGAGTAGGAGTCAACCCAGGGTGGCAATAGTGATGGCTCATGGCTTGGGATCTCCATGCAATGGAATTGGTATTGTGCAATTTTTTTACAATATATATTGCAATGGTATCTATATTGTCTTGAATTTTTTATATTAAATGTTGGCAGCATTTTATGCATAAGGAATGATGTGATTCCAAGTTTTTGAACTGATGAATGGGATTTCATCTTACATCACTGTGACTGGCTATATATATATATATATATATATATATATATATATATATATACGGAGTGTATATATATATATATATATATATATAGACACACACACACACACAATATTATCATTGTGCTTGAGAATTGCAAGTCCATAAATGCAGTGAGTGTCCACATGTTCTTTTGGGTTGGAGTTAAGTTGAACATAGCCAAAACAGAACTCTTGTTTTTCTTTGATGTAGTTTTATGTCATTTGTGTTGTGTTTTATGTCATTTCTTATCTTCTTTTTTTTTTTAAAAAAAAACTTTTTAAAAGGAATACACACACACAAACACACACACTATATTATCAGCCAGGGGATAGAACAAATAAAGGAAAAGAAAAATAAAACACGTACCTCTAGCTAGGGTGGGAGCAATAGGAAATGATCGACAGTGTCTCCTGGAATAGGATGCATCTGAGAAGTAAGAGGAGTGAGGCGAATGGTTGAAGTTGCTAGGACGTACTCTGCTTTGAACTTGAGGAAATAAATATAGACAGGCTCATTATGTTCAATTGAGGGCAACCATGAAGCCGCCCAGAACACCCCATCGCCCACACAATGCAAGGAATCAAAACCCACGCACGTAATATTATAGCCATAGTTGACACATGTTTCTGAGGACCAAACTACATCCAGCCATTTAGAGGTGTCTAAATCGTATACAAAGAAAGAACTGGGAGTATAAACATCATGAATGAAAATGAGGTTTTCATAAACAGCAACAACATCGCCCCAATGATCAAAATGGGAGGCAACACGCCCCCAAGCAAAAGTAGAGAGACGGGTTGGAGGATAGAAAGCCCAGAGGGAACCATCAGAAAGGTGAATAAGGATACGATGTTTGGAAGGATGAGGGAGGACGGGACTATATACCCTTAGATCCCGAATTGAATGAGGCGGGTTAGATAGGAGGGATTTGTGCCAATTACCATCAAGGGGATCAAATACCTCAGGAACCACATCATACGATCCAAAGCAATAAATCTTCCCCTGATGGACAGCACAGGTGGAGTAGCGACCATTGTGAATGGGAGTTTGAATCCGCTCCCATCTCGGAGGATCCCCATCCACAAGACGACACCCGCCGGGGTAGAGAACTAGTTTGTCGTCATCCTCATCGTTGGGTGGACCTATCTCACCAGGACCCAAACCGCCCACCATGTACACCGTCGGACCTCCTCCCCCGCCCTCCTTGGGCGGAGGCAAGGCTACCAAACAGAATGCTCCTAAGCTACTCAGCAATGGTGGATACGCATTCTCAACAACTTTCCCCTTCCCTCCCAAAAACACCTTGTGGAATTCCGCCAAACCCTTCCTAGGGAGTTCGTCACCGGGTAAATCTCTTTCCCCGCACACCACGAATGCCGGCTCCTCCTCTTCCATAATGACGCCTCTCTCGATCTCTGTCGTCTTTGAGTCCTTGCCTTGCATCGTACTCCCAATACCCTCTCCCTCCATAACCCTATTTCTGCGCTCCCAACTTGACTCGATCGACTTTTGTTTCGTTTTCTCTCCTCCCTACCCACATTTCACTTTTATACCCTTAAAAATTGTAAAGTTCTAATGTCCCAGTGGACACGGTACGGTTCCGGGACCGTTTTGGAATTTCCGGTTCCGGTATGCCACCCCTTCGTACCGGTACCGTGACCGAACTAGACGGTACCAGTTCCAGTACCTGGACCGGCGGTTTTGTTACCGGATCGGCCGGTTTTGGCCACCTCCGCTCGGATCGAGGAGGTGAATACTTAAGCTTGGAGTTCGATGAGTATGTGAAAGAGTATGGGATCTTATACCAACTCACTCCTCTGAAGACACCTCAGTTAAATGGAGTGTCTGAGAGGAGAAATCGGACCTTGCTAGACATAGTCCGGAGCATTATTAGTCTGACAATATTGCCAGAATCATTTCGCAGATATGCATTGAAAACAGCAGCACACACACTCAACAGAGTTCCATTTAAAGCTGTCGAGAGCACACCATACGAACTATGGCGTGGGAGAAATTGAGTTTCTCGTACTTTAAGATTTGGGGCTGTGAAGCTTATGTAAAACGTCTCATGACATCTAGTAAGTTGGAGCCTAAATCTGATAAAGTAATTTTTGTGGGATACCCCAAGGAAACTAGAGGGTATGAGTTCTATCATCCATCCGATAACAAAAAATTTTGTTGCTCGGAATGGAACCTTCCTTGAGAAGGAGTTTCTTTCTGCTATCACTAGTGGGAGAAAGGTAGACCTCGAAGAAATTCGAGAACCACAAGAAGAAGTCCTGATAGTGTTGGTACCTGAGCAAAGAGATCAAGCAATTGAACCTCAAATTGCTGAAGATATACCATGTAGGTCCGACCGGATATGTAATCCTCCGGTTAGATATGGATTTCTCATGTCTGATGAAGGTGACGTTTTGTTGGTAGATCAATGCGAACCAGAGACCTATCTCGAGGCAATTACATGCCCCGAATCCGATCTATGGCTGGAAGCCATGAAATCTCAAAAGGAATCTATGTACACAAACCAAGTCTGGACCTTGGTTGATGCGGCCGAGGGTAAAACCCATTGGATGCAAGTGGGTCTTCAAAAAGAAGACAGACGTAGACGGGAAGGTTACGTTCATACCTTGAAAGCTCGATTGGTAGCAAAAGGTTATAGGCAAATCCACAGAATTGACTAGGATGAAACCTTTTTCTCTAGTTGGTATGCTGAAATCCATTTGGATAATGCTTGCAATTGCAGCCTATTACGATTATGAAATTTGGCAGATGGACATCAAGACGGCTTTCCTTAATGGGAACCTCAAAGAGGATGTCTTCATTACACAACCTAACGGTTTACAAATTGCTGGTCAGTCTACCAAAGTTTGTAAGCTGCAACGTTCAATCTACGGATTAAAATAAGCATCTCGGAGTTGGTATATACGCTTCGACGAAAACATTTCCAGTTTTGGTTTTGAGAACTCTGACGAATCTTGTGTATACAAGAAGGTCAGTGGGAGTGTAATAGTATTCCTAATCTTATATGTCGATGACATATTGTTAATGGGTAACGATATTCCCGCTCTCACTTCTGTGAAGACGTGGTTGAGCAAGAACTTCTCCATGAAAGACTTAGGGGATGCTAGTTATGTCCTTGACATAAGAATCTACCGAGATAGATCAATAAAGTTTATTGGTCTGAATTAAAGTACATATATAGATAAAATTTTTGATTGATTTAGCATGTATAACTCAAATAAAGGATCTTTACCTATGACACCTGGCACGGTTCTTTCTAAGAGCCAGAGTCCTTCTACTCTGAAGCAGAAGGAACTCATGATGAAGGTTCCAAACGCCTCTGCGATTGGATCCATCATGTACGCCATGATATGTACTAGACCTGATGTCTCATTCGCTTTAAGCGTGACCAGCAGATACCAGGGAAGTCCAGGAGATGGAAGCACACTGGATAGGTGTCAAGAACATCCTCAAGTATCTTCGCAATACTAAGGATGCATTCCAGGTATACGGTGGTGAGGAAGAGCTAAAAGTGGTCGGTTACACTAACGCTAGCTTCCAAACCGATAGAGACGATTCAAAATCACAAGCAGGATATTTGTTTTGCCTGAATGGCGGAGCTTTTAGCTAGAAGAGCTTCAAGGAGGATACAACCACCGATTCGACTACAGAGGCTGAGTACATAGCTGTCGCCGAGGTAGCTAAAGAAGCTGTTTTGATCAAGAAGTTCATTACTGAACTTGGAGTGGTTCCTAGTATTAATGACCCTATCTCGTTGTTTTGCGACAACATTTGGGCCATTGCACAAGCAAAGGAACCGCAATCTCACCAGAAAACCAAACACATTGTACGACGCTATCACATCATACAAGAAATTGTAGACAGAGGAGATGTGATTATTTGCAAAGTGGATACTGACAACAACATAGCCGACCCCCTGACCAAGCCTTTAGGAAAGCTAAAGCATGAGGGTCACACTAGGTCCATGGGCATTCGACCGATGCTAGATTGGCCATAGTGCAAGTGGTAGATTGTTGGAGTTGTGCCCTGATGGCTAACTGTTTATCATTATTCTATCATGTATAAGCAGATATAATATGTTTACACATCTCATGCTAATGTAAACAAATATTATATTTCTAGATTTATATTTAAAGATGTTTATCAGATAGTGTTATTCTGCTGATGAGACTAACATCTTGAAGTAAATATTTAACTGAATGTCCATAGTCGAGTATTAACAAGAGTGGGATATCATTAATGCATGTGAGACTAGTGTGTGTTAGATATTTGACTTAGTCTCATAGTCAATGACGGTGTGTTCGCATCCGCACATGTGCAGATATTATCTAGAGATAATACGAAGCCGGACTGACCCATCCTAAAGATGTTGCTTGAACTTTTAGTTCATGCTCTAAGCATCTTTAGTGCGACCACAGATGTAACTATCCTTCGACTTGAAGTATTACGTTTTCTACATATGTGAACCCGTATACTTTGATGCATTGTCCTAAGCCGTATGAAATAAGGATGGTATACATGCTTTGTTTTGGGTATGTCGTAGTGCGTATTTTGAAACGTAGATTACGTACATAAAATTTGTCACTACTCTTTTTAAAAGAGATTAATGTCTTATGGGGCCCACTGATAAGTTATGATTGAGGATATTGCATGGCTATGCTGAGATGCTTTTATGACGTCTGTTCCTATTAGTCAGATTTGATAAATCAATGAATGACTTAATGTATACAAGTTGGATTTTATCAATCCCTTGCATTAAGTTTAGACATTGAGACAAAGGGATATAGTTACATGGAGTCTGCGTCGTGGAAAGGTTTTGACGGTGGAAACGTCTTAACTTATAATCTGGGGGCAATAATGTGTTGCTAGATACCGCTTATTGCTTATAGTATTGGTGCAGAGCCAATACTGTGGCCAGCTTTATAAGTGCCTATACGGGTCACACACTTTGGACAATTTAAGAAGTAGGATTAAACAATGGGATAATAAGTAAATTGTATATTTGTAAAATAGTAGAATAAAATATTTTGGAGTATAATATATATTATAGAGTAAATTCCATAAAAGGTCCCCAGTTATAGGTCGTTTTACATATTTAGTCCATACATATCAAATATTACTAATTTGGTCCTCAATTATTATATTTATTTTCACGAATGGTCCTTTGTTAACATTTTCGTTAAAATATGGATAAAATTATAAATTCACACTCTTTTCTCTTCTCAATTAAGCTTCCTTCTCCCTTTTACTCCTTTGTCAAACCCGTCGCTGAGTTTTTAGCTTTGAATCCTGAACCAAAATTATTACTCTTTTCTCAATTGTTTGCCTAACTGGAGGAACGATCATTTAAGTTTTGGGTTTAAAAGCTTCAAATTCAGCGACGAGTTTGGGAAAGAATACGAGAAGATGAAGAAAACTTAATTGAAGAGAGAAAGAAGTATGAATATACAATTTTGTCCACGTTCTTAACGGAAATTTTAACAAAGGACCATTCGTAGAAATAAATATAATAATTGGGGACTAAATTAGTAATATTTGATATGTGGGGACTAAATATGTAAAACGACTTATAACTGGGGACCTTTTATATAATTTACTCTATATTATATATACGGTTTATATATATTTAATATATATATATATATATATATATAGATTTTGGTTCTGGTGAGAATGCAATCTTAGGAGAGAAATGAGAATGAATTTGGTGCTTTAGATTGTGAGATCTAAGGGTCAAGATTTCATCAAAATTAGATGCACAAAAATGGTGCGAAAATGCATCACGTCAAAATGCACCATAAACCTTCGAAAATGCACTATCTCAAAATCTGAGCGCAGGATGCAATCTGAGCCACACGATGCATCAGATCCGATGGCTAGATTTTATTCTCATTTCTCTCCACAAGATGCATTCTCACGGGAACCGGCCCCTATATATATATATATATATATATATATATATGTATGTATGTATAAAATAAAAAGATTTTATTAAAAAGAAGAAAAGTACAGGAGGCGAGGTGGCCAACCCCGACAAAAGGCCAAAGAAAGGTAAATGCAAAAGCAAATAAAAGACCAAAAGGTTCAAAACAAAACAGTGAGGGACACAGCACAAAGGACAACACCCAAAACGTCTTCTGCTACTTGACCCAAACTTCACAACAAATTCTAACAGTGTGTAGGACTTAGCCCACTATGTTGTCTCCAATAGCCAAAGGGAACCTTCATGTGGCAGCCTCCAGATCCATACTTCAATAAAGTAGAGTTCTTCCAAGATGAACTCCCTAGCGCAAGTGAAAAGGCCTCCATGTTTGAGTCTACAACCTTTAAGCTATATGCAGGGCAATGTGGTACAACCCTCCCCTACACCAACACCTTAGCTATGCCTTCCTATTTGACCAATCTCGTGCATTCTTCTGCAACCATAATTCCCCTTTAACCTTAAGTAAATACATAGCAAGCCCATGCCTAAATGGTAGTTCCCAACCAAGAACAACATCCATGATAATCGTTCAAAAGCCTCTAGTGCGAGATCACTCAGATTCATCCTTTTCTAGCCCTCTTGCCTTCTTCTTTTTGAGTTTCTTTTTAGACTTTTTCTTTTGGCTCTTGGTTAAAGGCTTATTTGTGAACTGTTCCTTGGTTGCTTTTACTGGTTTGTTTGGACAGCATTCCTTGAAAAAATTTCTAATGTCTTCTGCAAAATTAATCTCTGAGCCGTCTGACCTTTCCTCCCAACCCATTGGTTTTTTCTTTCTACCCTCTTCCAAAATCTTTGCCTTACTTCGAGTTACTATTTGAGAAGGAGAGTAGATGTGCCTGCCCTTGAATTCTCTCCCGAAATCAATAGGTTTTTTGAACATCCTGGAATAATCAATTTGAAGAGGTTTGAGTATGTTGTCATTGAAGACCTTGTCTTCTCCTTCCGAATGCGTATATAGAATAGGCCCCTCTCTTTCTTCCCTGATGTCTTCTAGTGCATTGTTACAAAGTACCAAGTTCCCATCATCTATTCTTCCAAAAACATCATCTTTGAGTGGGCTGCCATCTTCCGGGTCTTTTAATTGATCAAAGAGAGCTGCATAAGTGTTGGGCATAAGTGGAATGAACTCAGCAGCAAAAGGGGATAGACGCACTCTAGGAAGCTGGGGGTATTGAATATTGTATGAAGAAGAGGGCTCTGCCAGAGCAGTGTTTTCCTTATGCTTATGCACATCCAGTTCAGAAGTTACTTCCGAGCAATCAACCAGATCAGTTTTGTTTCCCTGTTGTAGATCCTGCCCTTCCATAGAGCTGAACTCATGATCCTTTAATTTAGCATCATGAGTAGGAATCTCTACACTAGAGTGCACTGGACCAGTTACATTCTCTCTCACAAAAACAACCTCAGATTCTATTGCTCCTGAACCTCCTACTGCTGCCCCAAACTCCCCAAACCCCTTATCCTTGTCCAGACACCGTGCTCTCTCAACAAAACACAAAATAGCCTTAAGGAATTGATTAGGCCCATCATTATGTACTCCAAAGGGGATATGAATGAATCTGTTACCTTCTTTTCTAGATTCCAAGATGCGAATAAAATCCCCCCTATGATTAGAGTCAATAGCAATTTCAAGTGTTCTTCTAACATCCAATTTAACACAGGCCCATGTAGAACCGGAAATCAGTCTAGGAAGAGATTCTATGACCCAATTGAGTGAATCAGAATCAAACCATAAGTGGAAGTTTCTTCTCCCCCTATCAGTAATACTGAAGACCTTATTGTAGACAGAGTAATATAGCTCAAATACCTTATTAAGAATTCTGAATTTGAATCTAATGTTCTTGCTAGGCCATGGAGGGGTGTTCTCACTCTGACCCTGTACGATTATTCTCCGTTCTGAAAGAACAACAACGCGATTGGATGGCATCGCAGCTTTCAGAACAATGGAAACTCATGGAAGAACAGGTCTCTCGGCTAGCAAATCAGCTGCAGGATTTGCAGACACAAGGATCTGGCAGCTATCAAGAGTCAGGAAATTCATCAAATCACAATGGAGGCAGAAATCCATTCCATTTCAATCCGAAGATCGAATTTCCATCATTCGAGGGAGGAAATCCACGAGAATGGATCAAGAAATGCAGACAATACTTCTCCTTGTGTAAAGTACCTGAAGAACAGCAGGTAAATTTAGCCTCTATTCATCTCAAAGGTAGAGCTGAAATTTGGTTCAGTAACTATGGTCAAGGGAGAAATAACATGTGTTGGGATGAGTTTGTCATGGATTTGGGGGCCAGATTCAAGGAAGATGATCACAATGATATAGTAGAAGAATTCAATAAACTCTGTCAAACAGGAGACTTAGAAGAATATGTGGATAAGTTTGAAGAACTTAAAGGGCTGTTGTTAAGGAAGAGGCCTAACATGCCTCAGGAGTATTTCCTGGATAGCTTTATTGCAGGACTAAAGCCACAAATTAAGCCTTTTGTGAAGGCTTTTGCTCCAACATCAGTAACTAAGGCCATTAGTTATGCAAGGTTGCAAGAGCAAACTGTGGAAGCCTGGAGAACTCAAGATAAATCCAACAAGCACTCACAACTTCAATCTAACATGGGAAGGAATAATACACCTTTACTAGCTAAGCCTGAATCATCTGCCAAATCCAGCACTCCAACAGGCTATCAGGGTGCATTCAGACCTCAGGGCAGTTACAACACGTCTAGCTCAGCCAATAAACCAACCTTCACGCAGAGAAATCCCAAGTTCATCCCTGCATCTGTCAGGGCTGAGAAAATAGCAAAAGGGCTATGCTATTATTGCGATAAACCATTTGAGAAGGGACA